GCAATTGGAGGCATATGAAATATTATTTCTTTTCTGGGTATCTCGGTGCACTATTTGTGCAAATGTGAAAGATTTACATCGTATATTAAATGAGTTATGTATTCCTGGAAATAACATGTGACATATAAAGACGGCTGCATAAAGATTCCAAAAAGTACACATCTCCCTAACACCAAATTTGAACATATGTTGGCTAGGTATACTAGGTATATAGGCTCATTTGACATTTTCAGTACATTTTCAAAGAATGCCAGATCTGCAGTCTAGAGTCAATTTGCAGTTGATCAGATACTATAATTCTAGTATCTGGACACATCCTTTAGAGGGATACATTAGCGATCTGACTGTATAATGAGACTGTAAGCTGCAATGCGTGTGAGCTTAATAAGTCCCTACCTAGCCTACCTCTGAAGCCGACGCCTAGATTGGAGAATTATCCAAAAATCATCGTATTTAGAAACCAAACATGTATACCTTCTCAAAATACTCTGCAATTTTGTCGTTTCTACAATGGGTGTTGATAACTGCCAACACAATACATGTCTCTTCAATTTGCCTTTTAATATAATTTGCTCTAAAAAATGAATACTTCTTTGGTTAAATCTAGTTCAATCTTGAACGAATATTTAAGGACCTCAATGCAATACACTAAAATGTAAGCAGGCTTCTGATTGTTGTTTACTAGCGCAAGTATCTCGGAGTTGCTCTTTTAGCAAGGATGCATTAAATCATCATGTAAGTAAGGTTCTGATTGGTTCATAATTTACGGCGCTAAAAATAAACTCCACGGGCGTGAAGATGTTTCTCAGCGCGTGTAAAATAACAGTCTTAACGCCCGTAATTAATAATTTTAACGCCGTAAGTTCACGCCTGTAAATGTATTCTGAACGCCCGTAGAATTTACTTCTTCACGGGCGTAATTTACGCCTACACAGGCGTAATTTTTCGTCAGCACGGGCGTAATTTTACATCTACACGAGCGTAATTAACGCCTACACACCCGTAAACAACGCATGCATTCTTTATACTAATAGGCCAACCATATTTAACGCCGTTAGTTTACGCCTGTATTTGTTTTAACGCGTATAGAATTCACTTCTTAACGGGCGTAATTAACGCTTTGACGGGCATAATTAACGCCTACACAGGCGTAATTAACGCCTACACGGGCGTAATTAACGCCTGCACACCCGTAAACAACGCATGTATTCTTTATACTAATAGGCCAACCATAAATGGCACTTTCGTACGCGCAGGTAATAAATTCTCTTTGTTCCTTTTTAATTTTTGATTTGAATATTATCATGCTTAAATAATGATACAGTACTGAATATTATAAGAATTATCTTTTGTTAGGATGTATATTCATTTTCTTATTTCTTTAATCATTTGTACTTTATCAGATGTCAGAACAGGTCACAGTCGTTGACAATAATGTATTTGGTAAACACACCTTTTAAATGGATAATTAGACTGTGAACTTCTAGAGAAATATTAAATAATAGTAAAAAATGAAAAAAAAACGTAGATCATATTATTATCTCGCGGGGAATGGCGGTATTAGATATTATCGTATGATCTTTAAAATGAAACCCTCTGATTGGCCAGTTCTTCTGCTGTACCAAACTGTATTGCTACTGAGATTGTCTCCATTATTCATCTTCGTAGCAATACAGAAAAAGAAAATATTGATACGGAGGGGATGATCTCAGTTGCAATACAGAGAATACAGAAAGTTCCTTAGGGATTATCTCCTAAGTAAAAGTATTGGCCTAAGATCACACGATAAAAACTTTATTGAATGATTTGAAGTGCAATAAGGATATATTATGTCTCGATAATCTGTATTGGTACTCGACTTCGTCTCGTGCCAATACAGAATTTCTCGAGCAGAATATATGAAGTAACGCACTTCAAATCATTCAATAACTTATATCGTTTATTTTTATGTTAGATCATGGTTTGAGATATATGGTTTTCTTATGACTAGTTTACATTTGAGGTTTGCTTTTTCTTGCTAGGTTTCATTACAACTTTTGGTCCTTTCCCTTTTGTACTTGTACTTAGATATTTAATGTGACTCAGGTTTAATTCTTATTAGACTATAGACGACAGTGGGTACCGGTTGTTGACTACATCTGACAACGGCGTGTGTGAATGCAGAGTGAAGTCCCCAGAAGTGTCAAGACCAGTAGATCTTTGTACCCCTCAAGCAAAATATGACAAACTTGAGGAACTTAAAACAACAGCCTCCAGCATAATAGGTTATATATAACAACAATTTTTAGTTTGTATAGTATTTAGTTCTAAACGGGATTAATGTGTTGTTACTTACGTCATTCAAGAAAATGAAACTAGCTCATTCGCCAGTTTGACAGAGGGACATCAGGCAACGTTTTTTGTATTCTTGATCATTATTTGGAGTTTTGGGTTTTATATATTTATTATATTTTGATTCATTTAGCTTTTGATCTATGACTAAAACATTACTTTTAAATATTATGTCCCATGGAATATATACGCCACTTGGGGTGTCTTTTTCATGTAATTGATGAAATGTTGTATGATGTAATTTTGAATGAATAAATTGAATTGAATTGAATTGAATATTTGTTTGCCTTACATTTGGATGTTTCTGTTTTAACCATATTCTCGTATCTTTTGGGTTTCTCTCTAGTTAAAGATTTTGCATTTATGCTTACATATAAGTTTGTCGCATGATTTGTGAAATGAAGCCATCTGCTTGGTCAGTAGTTCTTGTGCTGTACCTATACCAATCTATGTTGTTCCTGAGATTGCCCCCATTGATCATTTCCGTAGCAGTACAGAAAATATTGGTATGGATGGGACAAACTACTCAGTAGCAAAGAGAATACAGAATATCTCCTAGGGATTATCTCCTAAATAAAATGCATTGGCCTATGATCACAGGATTGCACTTCAAATCATTCTGAGTGCAGAATACTGCCTTCATTCCAGAATTTTTCAAGAAACTGAGCACAAAGGGGCTCAAGGACAAGTTTGTGGAACTCACTGCCAGAGTTGATGCTATTGATTCTAAGATGGATGGCCTTAAGGTGGCAGTCAGTGTCCAGGTATTTACTATCATTCCTGCACGTTTATTCAGATATTTGTCAAGTGACGCTTAATTTAGAAATATCAAAGAAATTGGAAATACGACCAGGAACACTTGGATAAAACATTAACAAGCCTAAAACTCAATTTTTCAAATGGTTTGATACAAACTGACAAACAGTGCAACCAATCAATGATTTATATCGTTGTTTGAACATCCATATTGCTTCCAATTCAATTTCATATGTTAAGTTCAATTATATCGACAGGGGTGACAAAATGGAATCACGCATATACGTCATTGGAATGTCTTGCCTGTCAAAACAGTCCCAAATCATTTTTTTTTATTTAATTATTAAAATCAAATAAACATATATACATATCAGTGATAATGACACCCTAGTGGGTGTATGTCTTATCACAAGCTAAAATATTTTAAAAATGGCCTATTGTTAGTTACATTTATTATTGATGTTACAAAGTGTCTCAAAGTATAAATTATGTAAGCCAAACTGGGAAACAAATAAATATGATGTATAAAAGATATAGTAAAACATTTCAAAGCTAAAACCATAAAAATATAAAAACTTCACATTTCAGAACCTGACAGTGCTTCAACTTGAGTTGGATATCATGTCAGAATTGGTTGACCAGATCCCAGTTACAGAAAAGAACAAAGTAACATTGATATTGATGAGGGAGGAGATAGAAAACATGTCATCTATTGTTGGACACTTCCTTAGTCAGGATCCGGTTGATAGTGACACCGACTTGTTGGCAGAGGTGAAATATGATTATTCTTACTACTCTTGCTACACAATTACCTTTAGATGTCTTCATCACCCAACAACACAATTAATTATTGTAATAAGTTGCAATATGTTTGGTTACTATAACCTGATGTAAAATATGTTTACTGCATTTGAAATAGTAATGTTCGAATGTTATTGCGTTTGCATAATAACAAATTCACCTACAAGGCTAAATGCAAAGTCATGGTACACTGGGTCAGACGTAATCTTCAACATGATAGGCTCCCTACATTAAATTTGGCATTTGGGATTTATTCCGGCTATGACCCAAATCGTTTTATTTTGTCGATCAAACGTCACTTTTGGGAAAATTATTCTTTAACATTTGTTTTTACAGATTACCCAACTGAGAGCTCAATTGGCCAAGTTGAAGGAATACCTAAGGGACTTTGATGGCTATATCTTCCCCGGAGATTTGACAAAACGTAAATAACACAAGTAAAAATGGCGGCCATTTAAAAAAATTCACTGGCAATATTGTCATAGGAATGTGTAATATACTTCTTAGTAGTTACATTTGACATAGTTCAACAAAAATCGCTATATTGCTTTTCAAGTTGAAGTAGAATAGACTTAAAATAATATACAAAACATGGCGGCCATTTTAGAAAATTGCCATAATACAGTGAACCGTGCTTATGACTATTCACATACTGAATATGAACAAGATCGCTCAACTACTTTCCAATTCGGCAAAAATCGTAAAATAGCATGTAACGGCAACCATTTTTCAAGATGGCTTCCATGTTATTTAAGTAATTGGATTTTCAACTTACTGAATATCTTATATATTTTTGCAATAAAACATATCAATATTGCAGTTTTATATGTTTTCCCAAAATACTACAAAATTAACGCTAAAATGGCGGCCACTTTGAAACCGGTATATAAATGGTATCGGGCCAACTTTATTTGAGTTAATGTCCAGACGGAAGGACGTATGGACGGTTGGACTGAAGTATTGTTTTTATAATTTAGATGTCATATTCGATTGGAAATTTGTTTCTCTTGTTGTTTCATCGCCCTGCTTCTTTTTATATCATTTGCTTTGTCTTTGTCTTTTCTTGGTATTCTTCAGTACTCTTTTGTTTCCATAGTTTCTTCTTTGTTTCTGTTGTTGTTATTGTTTTGACTCTCCTTCTTTTTACCTTAACTCATTTGTCTTCTTAATCTCTTCTTTCTTGGTCTTCTTTGTTCTTGTAATATTTTCCGTGATCCTGTATTGTGAAAGGTATGTAGACTTGTGACTACACGTCGGTTAGCTAAACACCTTTTCTTCCTATAACACTCCAACTTCCATTCGTTTCCTTGATCCTGTATGATGAAAGGTCTGTAGATTTGTGACTACACGTCGGTTAGCCAAACACCTTTTCTTCCTATAACACTCCAACTTCCATTCGTTTCCTTGATCCTGTATGATGAAAGGTCTGTAGATTTGTGACTACACGTCGGTTAGCCAAACACCTTTTCTTCCTATAACACTCCAACTTCCATTCGTTTCCTTGATCCTGTATGATGAAAGGTCTGTAGATTTGTGACTGCACGTCGGTTAACCAAACACCTTTTCTTCCTATAACATTCCTATTTCCATTTGTCTTCATCGGTGTTTATTTTTGTTGTTTTTTCTTCCATACTATACCACGGTATGTTTATAAGATTCCTACAGTACTAATTCAAGTATTTTAATTTTTTCCTGCCATTTTATAGTAAATATTTTTGATCCTATGATGTACCCAAAGATAGGATTTTTGTGTATCTTAAACTTGAGGAGTATGTTCGGAAGTGGGAGGTTTTCACTAAATCCCTACCGAATTTCGTTCTTCGGGATGAATATTTTAAAAATATGTTGCCATTTTTAGAATGTTAGTCCGTATCTACTTCAATATCGGTTGTTTATTACTGTGTTACAGGTATGTACGAGTGCTCTAGTAATCCTGCCTAAATTGTGGAAGCTGTATAGATAGTGTCAATGGTTACAAATGTTCATGCACTGTTGGATATCAGGGTTCGACATGTGATATTGGTAAGTTCAGTAAAATGTGCTATATTTTAATTTGAATGTCTGTAACATGAACATTCTCACCAACACGTTTAAGGTCAGAGTGCATGTTCGGAATTTTGCTGCAACCCTCGATAGGGTCACATGTTATTTTTCAAATTTGAATCACTCCTTCCCCACAATGTCTACATCTCTCACTTTTGCACAACGAGTGCACTAATGTACCTAGAAAAAAATGTAAAGAATAATGTTTTGATAAAATGTATAAAACAAGAAAATTCAGTGAAAAAATTCAAAATTTCAAATTTTTTTTCACTGAATTTTGTCGGTTTTTACACATTTTACAAAACAAATCTTCTCGTCAGTCTTTTCACATTAGTGCACCTTTGTGCAAAACTAGAAGATGTAGACAATGTGGGGAAGGAGTGATTCCTGTTTGAAAAATAACATGTGACTCAATTGAGGAATGCAGAAAAATTCCGAACATGCACCCTGGCTTTAAATTGCTGCGAAATATGAGCTTATCTAACTAAAGTGTAGATAAAGTGAAATCCTCTGGAATTTAGAAGAATGGTTACTGATGTTTCCTACATTTTCTTATCTTTATGATCTTTATCGTTTACGAATTAACTCCGATTGTATGTATTTAGTTTATTCCAATGTTGTCTCTGTAATCTGGCTTCGTTTAAGATATATTGCCTTTATTATGTGTTCATTAATTCTCAGTTTCCAACTTTCAGTAATGCTTTTTAAAATCAGAATGATATTAACTAGTCTATATATTCGTGTGTCACGTTCTACAATGTGTGTTCATATGTCCATTAATATTGGTAATTATTTTTTTCACTGTGTTACAGATATAGACGAGTGCTCTAGTAACCCGTGCCTAAATGGTGGAATCTGTATTGACGGTGTCAATGGTTACATTTGTTCATGTGCTCCTGGGTATGAGGGTGCGAAATGTGACATGGGTAAGTTCAGTAAAATGTGAATATTGTTCTTTGAATCGCTATAACATGAGCGTTCTCACAAGCAAATACATTAATCAATATGAATCGCCGTACTTGATATGTCAAATGTTCAAAATATTCTCAAACGTTCCACTTTAACGTAGAACCTCAACGTCGGTTGCGCTTTTTTCTACAATGCAGATTTTCTTGGAAAATATGGGTAAAGGATATACTGATGTCTAACAAAATATGTCAAACTTAAAAAGAATTTGACAGTTGTGTTATATTTTAAGAAAAAATATTTAAGTTTAAGTTTCAACTCAATTTGGCTTATTTATCACTTTGAATCTTAATAAGGCCGGGTTGAATTCAACGTCCGTATAGATTTATTCCGTAAATTTTGGATCGATTAAACCCAATCTTCTTCCATCGTCATCCTCGTAAAATATAAAATATAGTAAAAGCATTCATTCTTCTAAACAGCAAATTGTGTATAAATCAATCGAATGATATTGCAAATCTGTAAAACTGACCCACTTTCTCGAAACAACCGATGACAACCTTCTATGAGATAAAAGTTGCTGTACTCCAAAATATTGGAAATAGGTTTAATAAGATGCATAATTTACTTTTCTCATATTCAGGATGATTTTTTTATTTTAATTGTAATAATTGTGTTTTGTTTTAACCCATTTTTATACTATAAATTGGTTTTCAAAATGAGTGCGTATAGCACCGGTACGAGGATAGACTTTCTAATTTCAGAAAACAAGGAACTTCGCTTGGTTGGTGGCCTTATATCTGGAAGACTTGAAGTGTTCTATAGTGGTAGATGGGGCACTGTTTGTGACGATGGGTTCGATACTAATGACGCTAAAGTTGCGTGTAGGCATTTGGGTGTGTGCCACTTCTGACTCGTAATGATAAAACAATTTAACAATGGGATAGATTTAATGAAAATACCACCGAACGTTTCATTTCGTGGTGGTCAATTTTGGTTCATAATTTCTTCAAATTATTAAAATATTCTATGGCCGCAAGCAAAATTCTGACCTTTTAAACCATAAATCTTCTGATGTTTGAATAACTTCATAAAATAAATTACATGCAGAGCTAAATCAAACAATATATAATCATGTCAGTGTCTAGGGGTCTCTGGAGAGAGTAAAAATTAGGTTAAAATCTAAAAAGATTCACATAAATATTTACACCTATGGAGCAGAGTCCAAAAATGATGATTTTTGGTAAGGATCTAGCAATCTGCAACACGTCATGGCAGCCATTTTTAATTTCTCACAAAATTCTTAACAAATTTCGCTTCCTCAAATTGGTTGAGGAAGTAACAAATCAATATTAACGCTTCTACCACAAATAACCACATTTAACCAGAAATCTTCCTAACTACAATTGTTTAACCTATCCTGATTAATATTTTTAGGTTTTGAGTCTAAGCGGGCGACTGTCATAGCAAGTTCAAATGTTCCTGATGGTTCGGGTCAAATCTGGTTAGATAATATAAATTGTGCTGGAACTGATAGAACATTGTTTGAGTGTAGTCACAATGGTTGGGGAAGTCATAACTGCAACCATGGTGAAGATGTTGGTGTTAGTTGCAATGGAGGACTTCGCTTGGTTGGTGGTGTTGCATCGGGAAGACTTGAAGTGTTCTATAATAGTAGATGGGGCACTATTTGTGACGATTATTTTGGTATTAATGACGCTAGGGTGGCGTGTAGACATTTAGGTATGTGACACTTTTTAAAAAATGTTAAAACAAGTTAAAAAGTAATATTCTGTGGAATGCCTTATCATATCCAGCTTATATTTTAGGTTTGGGTTCTGAAGGGGCATCTGTAATGCAAAGTTCTAATGTAATTGATGGTTCTGGTCCTATATGGCTGGATGATATGAATTGTGCTGGAAACGAGAGAACGTTGTTTGAATGTAGACACAGTGGTTGGGGAGTTGAAAACTGCGGCCATCATGAAGATGTTGGTGTAAGTTGTAATGGAGGACTTCGATTGGTTGGTGGTGTTACATCGGGAAGACTTGAAGTGTTCTATAGTGGTAGATGGGGCACTGTTTGTGACGATGGGTTCGATATGAATGACGCTAAGATTGCGTGTAGACATTTAGGTACGTGACACGTTCAACTTGTGTATGTTAAAACAGGTTAACAGTAGGTACAGTACTAGGTGGACTTGTTTATAGTATCCTGATAAATATTTTTTTAGGTTTTGGATCGGGGCGGGCGTCTGTAATACAAAGTTCTAATGTCCCCGATGGTAAAGGTTCCATCTGGTTGGATGATATGAATTGTGCTGGAATGGAGGGAACATTGTTTCAATGTAGACACGCTGGTTGGGGAGTTCATAATTGCGGCCATCGTGAAGATGTTGGTGTTAGTTGCAATGGAGGACTTCGCTTGGTTGGTGGTGTTGCATCTGGAAGACTTGAAGTGTTCTATAATGGTAGATGGGGCACTGTGTGTGACGATTATTTCGATACGGATGATGCTAAGGTTACCTGTAGACATTTAGGTACGAGACACTTTTGATGTAAAACTAAGTTAAACAGTAATACTTTGTGGAATGGATTTATCGTATCTTGATTTATCCTTTTTAGGTTTTGTGACTGAGGGGGCAACTGTCATAGCAAGTTCTAATGTTCCTGATGGTTTGGATCCCATATGGTTAGATGATATGGATTGTACTGGAAATGAGAAGACATTGTTTGAATGTAGACATAGAGATTGGGGAATTCATAACTGCAACCACGGTGAAGATGTTGGTATTAGTTGCAGTGGTTAATATTAAGATAAATCTGTAACTATGTGTACAGTGAAACATTTACCTTAATGTTATTATAGTTTGCTACAGGTATACCCCAAGGTCTAATATTTTGCATGTGTCTTTAGATGATTAAGATAAGAAGTAAACCTTCAACTTTTTTTAACCAAATAGGATTGTGTATTCACAATTTAGTTGCGTAACGTGATATAATAATAGGCCTAAGATTGAAGGTGGATTTGATGGTAATGTTGTAGTTTAAGTTTTGTTGCACATTTTCAGAGACAAATTCTTACATGAAATATGTTTCCCCAATATCAACACTGTGATTCCAGTTGATATATGAGACGTTCAATGAGTAATTATTATTTACAAAGTGGTTTTGGTTTAATATAGCAACATCAAATTATAATATACCGAGGGAAACGCCAGTCAAAAGTTGAAATATCAGAATAAACTAACACGTCATCAATGACCGTAAGAGACAATCAACCATCAGCGGATAACTAATGCCATAATGGCGATGAATGACTAATTTCGAACTTATCAACGATGACATCAAACCTAAAAGGAGGTCAGGATAATTTTTGCCACCCAATTGACGGTATAGTACGCAAGCTTAACATATTACCCGAATATGGTCGTTGTTTCACCAACACGGGGACCCACAGTACCACAGATCTCAACCCCACCGAGCTAGCGATTCTCGTGTCTGACTTAAAAGGTAACAACGAATTCACAAATGTTATGTTTTCAAAATAAATTTCATGAACGTCCTTCAACAAAAACACAATTATTATAGTGAATGTGTATTATACAACTAACCCGAATTTGTTTATCTTCACCAAGTATCCTTATTCATGTGTTTTAATTTGCCTTCCTTTCCTCGACGTTTTTCTAAACATCCTGTAAAATGTCACTCGATGCCTTATCATCTCGGGGAATAACTACATGATTAATTTGGTACGTCCCACCCATGTCCCACTGACATATGATTGGAAACTTTTTTAACATTTGACTTGTGAATATAATTATATGCCCAAGTTCTTGTAAACAATGTTCACCCCGTGGTAGGCGGACTCACATCAAAGTTCAGATTTCCCACTTTCATCACGTGTCAATCCCAGATCTCGCGTGATCAAAATAACACCCAGCGCCATTTTGGAATTACATGTGAAATAGTCATTCCTCATGAAAAAGTAAGTATAACTTGATGCATTTCAAAACATCTGAATTATTTCATTGAATAATTCAAACTAAACTATGATGTGTATTGGTTCTAATGAATTGGTTTGGGAAGTATTGGTTCAGTACTTCGGCAGGAAATCTTCCGAACAAGCTATTTAACTTTGGCAAATTTAATAAGGCCAGCGAAGGGTCTAAATTTCGAAGTTTCGGACGGTGAGAGTCTATTCCTTACTCAAAACAGGGGTCCAGGCTGAGTGCTTCAATTTGGTGGATCTACTCCAAACAAACTTATATCATCAATCAGATGACAATGCAATCTTGGTAAAATGAACAATAACTATGTTTGCATAACGGTCAACTCAGAATATAAAGGAAAAACAAACAAAGACAAGTACAATCATTTTTGGAACACAGCGTATAATGTGTATGAAACGATTATTATGGCGCACAATCCATGCGCCTTTTCCGATCCAAAGTTTTCCAGTGCCTAAGCGTGAAGACCCTTAGTCAGAGAAGAAAATAAAAAAATGTTCGAATAATGTTTAACATGAACTAGATTGGTGAATTTAAGACTCCCGATTCAGACTCTGTATTCAAAAACAATTTTGACATCTGATATTGATGGGAAAATGATAAAAGAAAATGTCCATGTTTTATTCATCACAACTTTAAAAGCAAAAAATGATTAGTACATGATCATTGCAATTTCTCCGAAATTGGCATTCTTAAAAGAGTAAGAGTTTGGGCAAAATAGTTTTATTGATAAATGATAATAATATCTAAAATATAATAGAAGGGCCCTCGATTTGACCTCCTAAAAATAAATAGTATCTACAAAAACTATACGAGGCCTCGCGAGGGGCTTCCTTTTTAAGAGTTTCTTTATACTGCTGACAGAACAGAGAACAACACTACTTGCAGGATTGGAGACGATAGGGATCCGTACCCACTATGATGGACTTAATATGCATGACCAATCCCAGTTCTTACTTTTTGGAGATAATAAATTTCCAATAGATGTCAATGAGAAACTAATGAACATAGTAGCATATTATATCCATCAGGGTCTAGATCTTTTGGACATGTAATCGATTACAACATGTTACAACTGAAATCCCTCTGGCCAAGGGAAAAAACCTTACACATTTTTGAGATATACGAGTGTAGTGTGATGATATTTTATTGACTTTTTTTTCATCTATTTTAACAATAACATGACATAAAAATAACTTATTATGTAAAAATTTAATAACATTCCTTTGGATTTCACTCAAAATTGCCGTCAATGTCATTAGACTTTGGCAATTGTTTAAGTTTGTATATCTGTATTTTATGGAACACAATAAAGATGATTAAAAAAAAAAGTTTCTTTATATAATTAGTATTTGCAGAGTGCTTATAATATAATCATGTACAATAGTTCGGATCAGAGCGAGCATAAGTAGTATTTATGATAAAGAAAAAGTAGGTATCCGAAAAACATTTAATTTATAAATGAAAAGTATGTACATACATATGAATCATCATGTAAATAAGGCCAGTAAAATAATTAATGACTTTTGCTAACATGGTATAATATTACCAGAGCATTATGAAAATGTTTTAATACGGTCGGAATAAAATAGTATATCTGTCCCATAATATAATACAATATTTTCCTGATTTTCAACCCCTTCCATCCTTTCTTTTTTTAATTTTTCTTGCATCAATATGTTGCGTTTTGACACACAGTTGATCCCTTAAAAGGAATAAATAATTCCATTTAGATAAAGTGGAAAACAATATTTCCCATGTTATTTTCCCATAGGAAAAATCATTGCTTTCAGCTAAGTTTGGTCACCCATAATGGGTATCTTTAAAACCCCTGAAGGAATCACTTATTCCTTTAAAGTGGTTAACTATGTGTCAAAATGCAACATATTGATGCAAGAAAAATTAAAAAAGCAGGGATGGAAGGGGTCGAAAAATAGGAAAACATTTCAGAAAAATCATGTGGGTGGGTTGTTTGCATCTAACCTGTCTCAAAGTCAAAATTATTTTATCATCTCTAGAAGTGATTTTCCTGGAGGTAATGCATTGGCCTAACATATGCAATTGTTTAAATCCTCAGAAAATGGCCAAAATCCAACATATGACTGTACAAAATCTGTTGCGCTAACTTCCTTCCTCCTTTGCAGAAGAATGGAACTAAGTTCTTCCACATCTCAGAGCCAGTTTGAATTCAAAACTTATCAAAAAGGGAAAAACTAAAGGCTCCCAATATATTATTAAACGAGTTATTAAAAGTCATAACTTCACATATTATCTACCATATGAGCAAATTATGTATCATACTTCTACACCTTCAGTTACCAAATGCGTTCAGGATTCTACGATGGATTTTATCCTTAAACTGGAACACTCAATCTTCATACATAGGTTAATTGTTTTGAGAACAACTAAATGTTACTCAGTGATTAAAGAGTCTTATATCACCCTATACGAAGTGATCGGATCTAAACCATATGGTTTTTGGTAAAGGACGAGAAAAGGTGGCAAAAATCAAACAAGGATAGCACAGCCATACAAATTTTCAACTCTCAACACATCGTGAATTATTGTTAAATTGTACCTGTAAACCAAAGAACACGTTTGATTACATTGAAAATACATGGCATGCATAATCTTTCATAATAAATATCACATAGTCCTGAACAAATAGACTTTTCAAGGTAATGGCGTATTTTTATTTGATTTTTGTCAGCATTTCTTTCCCCTTGCTTTGATCATTTTATGTAGGGTGTAAATGTCATTTTATATAGGGTGTAAATGTGTGTAATATAATTCACATCCAGGTCGGGCGTTTTTAGACCATATCTAATGGTAGCAGTTTAACATCGCATAATGTCCAGGCGTATGATTTCGGGAGATTGAAAAATGCAAGACCACTGTAGCCACATGGATTGCATCCACAAATGTACTTACAGGTGTTTTTGTTGCCAGGAAGGGAATCTGTACCAACCAACAGGCATTTTTCAAACCGTCCTGTGTGAAGATTTGTACTAGCCGGTGCATCCATATCAACGGAATACACATAATGGTATGGGCTTTCACATTCTAATCGACCTGTCATCACAACATAGAACTCAGTATCAGACCCAAAGTCCAAGTTTAAATCAGGTGAGAATTTCAGATATCCGGGGGCTTCAGCGTTGTTAGGAATGTTCATACAAGTGCTGTTGTTGAAATCGTAATCGATGATACGGTTGAGCATCATGGGTGGAAATGTGTTGGCATATTCCTCCTCCAAGTTTATGCGATCGCTATATTTACAGCCAAGGTAACCTACTCTGCCTTGGATAGCTTGATTCCATGTTAGAGGATAGAGACGGATGTACTTTGCAAGAAATCTTTTGTCGAACTTGTGGTAGAATTTTTTGTCCACGTCACCGTTCACTGTTACACCTAAAATAAAAATACCAATAATACTAATTTTTATCATTGCCGTTTTGACACAAAGAAAATTCTTGATTGTAAAAATATGGTACTATTTAAAAAATATGGGTATAAGGAAACCGATGATGCTATTTGGGGTAATCCTGAATGCAGGGGTTAAGATACATGTATATATTACATCTTATCCCATATCTGAGGTAAAGCATGTAGTATAACACATATATTTATGATATTTTGCAAATGCTTGGAAAAAAGTGATATCTGTGGAATACGGAGAATATTCCACGGAAAACATTTTCCAAGGATTTGAAAATTCCCGCCAATGTGATGTGCATGGTTTCATGTTACGACGGTCATCATTAATTAGTGAGACAATTTTGAGGCAGCATCTTATATTCATTCAATTACAACAAAACTTGGTATGAACATACTCATTACCTTATTTGAATAGGTGCCTAGCAACAATGGTTACCATGGGAACGGTTGCTAGGGGTCTGTTGAGCAACTCAAAAATACCCGAAACCAGGGGACATTTTACCGTGCATTTTTTTAAAGTAACAATTAATTTTGTTTTCACGTTATCATGGGGTGATTGTTATGACAACATAAGCAATAATGATTTATTATCTTGTTTCTCATGTCACACTTGGCTGTTACACCAGAGGCACTGCCACTTCGCTGTACCTTGGGGTGGAGCAGGATTGGCTGAAATAAGCATGAATTCTAAAAAACTTTATCTCAACATTATGAAATACAATACAATCAAGGGAATACCAGTATAAAAAACCCTGAGGGCCTTCAGGAGGTATATGTACCAGATAATGTGAAGCCATCCACTGTATACAGGTGGTATTCTGCCTTAGTTTTGAAATAATCATATTTTGACTGTAGTATACACCTCAGTTCAAAAGATTCTGACTTAATAGCTTTTTGATTATATGGAACATATTCAACAGAATCATCGAGATGTAAGGGACTTGGAAAATACGACCTAAAATCCTGAAGTTTTTTACATTAATAGGTGCTTCGGGGTACTGGTCATGACTTCATATAGAAATATTTCAAAGCACTATATGGTATAGTTAACTTATCAAACTACATGGAAATGAAGTATTCCATCTAGGCTCAATTTGGTTAAAATATCAATGCAATTTAGGCAAATTTGAAAAAGTTGTGACAATTTTATCACTAATTAATGATACCCCCTGATCTTACATGGTGATTTCACGACGACACAAATCTGGAGATGATTTGATGTTTTGGCTATATGGTTCAAAGGACAAAGTGAAACTGAATGTGGATTTTTGGATGGTTTGTAACCCTACTATCACACCAAACTAGTTCTCACTACGTTCTCGAAAACGGGCTTCAACTGTGTACGAACGGACTGGACCTACTAAGAACCGTTTGGGATCTATTTACACACTTCATCGAACGTACTCGAACGGGCAGGGCCTCTAGAACTTAGACAATGCTCAAAATGTTCTCGTGGTCGTCACGTTCTACAATTAGAACGAGTGACAACGTACTAAGGACGAGCTGGACGTACTACTAACGGAACCGTCGTACTTCAATCCTACTAGGGACGTTTTAGCAACGAGTTGAACTGTCTGAGGACGTGTTGAGAACGAGGTAGAACTAATTGCAAACGGGTTTAAACTGATTAATAACGTATTTAACACTGCTTATGAACGAGTTAGCAAAAATATAACTATCACACCAAACAAGTTGCCACTGCGTTCTTCAAAACTGCCGTGCGAACGGAATGAACGTAGCTGCAACTTTCTAAGGTCTATTTACGAACGTTATGAACGTTCTCAGACGGGAATGTGATTTTAGAATTTTGAATCGATTCAAAATTCGATGGCGACCATACCGTTCTGTAAACAGGTCATGTTGACCTTCTAGACTAAGGGACGCGTTCTACGACATTGCACACCGACGTGGTGCGACCTGAACGAACTGCGAACGAGATGGATGTATTGGAGACTGTTTAAGAACGAAGAAGCTAATTATTTCAGACATATTTTCCGACCACAGCCAGACTGAGCCCGTTTTACGACGTTTTCGTAGGACTGGCAAGAACGGGTAAGGACTAGTTTGGTGTGATAGGGGGGTAAGGTGAACTATGGGGTAAATAGAATATACGATGATTTTTTCGTGATATCATTTTAATGCACTCGTTGATATCAATATCTGCACTCATTCGCTACGCCCATTCGTCCAGATATATCAACTCGTGGATAAGAATGGTATCTCTCAAAATTATAGGATTCCCTATACATATTTCAACAGTTCTGTTCAATATAAAGTTATTGAAACTGTGCAGACATTGTAGACCCCTAAATGGTATAACCTTTACCATATTTACACGAATACATGAAATAAATTGTTGGAATTGTCTAAATTGTGGATTAAAAAGTTCCTAATTTATTTACGCGTTATTACTTTTTTGTTTTTTAAAAATGTTTTTAATTTTGAAATATTTTTATTTAAATAAGTGCTAAAGCCCACCGTTTTTTTTATCAAGATCTTATTTATTAACATAACAGAATAACAGAGACACGTGTATTTAAAATGAGGTTATTCTGGGTACATTAACAAAGCTCTTTTAAATTGTAGTTATAGATCTTACATATTGGATCAAGATTTCAAAACATTGATTGTTCATTTATTATCTCAGGACCTGATTTTTTGAATGCTACAATGTAGTTTTGTAGATATCCATACAAACACCACAAGAGGACATCTCGGCTCAAAATTGTATTTCTTATAGACATCAACTCTTCATTAATATGATTGAAATTTATAATCAATAACAGTGCTTCAATTACCTGTTTCTCTATAGTCAATGAGCTTTTTACTAGAGCAATGGGGAGAATTACCACAGTAATACACAGTGGAACAGCAATACTCGTTTAAGACATCACATTCCTGATTGTTGTAGGGTGGTCCGCATCTTCGATTTACAGTTATCTTCTCGGGATCTTGATCTGTTAAATCAAACCAGTACATGAACAGCATTGCATATTTTATGAATTTTTACATTATTAAGATTAATCATTACTTAAATTACTTACGTGGCAACAGTCCTATCAATGCCAAAAAAAATAAGATCAAATGTTTTATGGTTTTTGTATCAGGGTTTTGTATATTTTTTTGGTGCAAAGAAATATCCTTCTAATTTCGTATTTCTCCATTCATAGATGTAAATATTGCAAAGGCTGACTGATTCTGACCACTTTGGTAACTTGCATCTACTTTATCGTCCGAATCAGTACCTGATGGCCCAATTTAAAAAAAATCGTTAAAACCCCTTCTTACAGGGTGTCGAAAAACAACGGCAATCCCCCCCCATTCTACAGGGAAAATTACTAAACGTTACGTTGCGTGTCATGTCTCATTTGAAGAAATTTTAATTCTGGGGTTACCTGAACAATTTCAGCTTTGTATCATATCGTCTCACATATTTACAGCTGAATGTTAATTGCTGGCATAGTTACTCTTGAAGGGTATATACAGGATACCAAATGTATTTCAAATTGCTAGTCATGCCTATTAATCAATTATTCTGTCATTAGACCAATGCTATATGTGTGATCTGATATCATGCAAGCTATAGTTAGCAACTGTGATGTCATTGACAAGAAGAATGCCTTGCGCCAAAAGCAGTCAAATTAAAGCATAAAATCCAGTTCGATTTCGACAATGCGCAATTCCATACCTCAATACTTACTCAAACGTCAATGAAAATATGCACATGCTTTGACTTACCCTTGCATCATTCTCACTCTATCTGCCTCCTCTGACGTTTATCTTTATAGTGACGTGAAGTACAAATTTTAAGACAAACATGCTTTTGAACATTAAATGAAGATTGTCTTGCTGTTCTTGAGTGGCTTTCTGAGACAGGTGATGGTGAATTTTAAGATTTGTTTGATCAAAGGGTCAGCAGATATATTGAGTGTATATAAGGGGATAAGAGACTGTTTTGCGAAATTAGATCAAGAACTAACAATGAAATATAGACAAATTAAAAAAATAATTGGTTAATAGGCAGGCATGACTGACATATTTGAATTTTGGTACCCTGTAACACTCTTTTAGATTCACATTTTCTACCTCTACAATATGTCGTACTCTTGCTCCACATACCATGTTGCCATGTTACTATGGTAACCAGATACCTATGTTGCTGGTCAAATGTATTGCTTATTTTTACACAAAATGAAACTTTTATATATGGGGTGGTTGTGGCCAAATCTGAACAATTTTCATAAAGCATTAAGATTTTTAGAGCAAACGGTTCGGAACTTTTGGATCAACCCTCGTACAATTAAAAGTTCATTACCTGAAAATCGACCTCTCTCAATCCAGTTTACCCCATCCATGCTGGATGAAACTTTGTATGATGTAATCCTTTCATTAGTTCCCTTATTAGGTCCCTGTATAATGACCTCTGATACAACATTGCTCTCCGGAAACTCAGCCTTAAACAGAGTAAAATAAAAATATGCACATAGATTAAACTATCTAGTACATACACCGCTTCGTTTTGGTTTCATTTCATTTTTTATCCATAGCCATATTAGTTAAGTCTTGTTTAATAGCTATGACCAATCACCCATAGAAATGGATGTCCTTTTCAGGTGTTTACATTCGGTGGTAAACAAGTCAGAACATTTTATATACTCCAAAGATTTAAAACGTCTGGATTTTCCAAATGATGCAAACATTTAACAAAGTTTTGCTAGGTCTTAAGTCCTCACTTTCCTTATTAGATTTCTTTAAAAATAAATTAAAAGGTAAAATGTTTCCGGATGGGCTTAACTTTTTTGTTGATGGAAGTTATCTCGATAGGAAATGTATCTCAACAGAGCCGGGGTGGTCTCCAAATTAAACAAGTGGCTCACCAAAAGTACAAAACTATCCACTGATAAAACAAAAAAAAAAACAGAGATTCTTTGGAGATTCCAACTTGACAGGATTTCAATCAGAACTCCCTATTTCACCTAAACTCAACATTTTCATAGAAAATATTTGATTTTCATGTAGCTGAGACTAGACAGGAATGTGAGACCAGTACCCTGGACCTCTCTTCCTCAAATCTAGCATTGTTGCTTGATTAATTAAATCCAGCTTATTTGTTTTATTCAAATCTAAGATATTCGAATCCAACATGTGTTTTGATTGCAGGATGTTATAAGGGGACGTCGAGAAATGCCAAAATTCGACTTGTCCCAACCTTGTTCATACACTTTATTTTTGTATTTATGAAATCAACTCATTGATTGAAAATAATATGAATGCGATTCGTATTTATTTCATTTCTAATTTGAATTCGAAACGTTGAACATGACAAAAAACTGTGAATAATAGTTTCTTTCGATTCAAGAAGGATTGGCTCCCAGGATCAATACTCGATATTTTCGAACAATTTAAACGTCAAAATGTCGTTACTGGAGAGGTTAAGCTAACGATGTTTTTCACAACGTAACCGTGAACGCAAAGTACAAAAATTAACAAAGGAATGTATCGAGCGCTCATAGTTTTATGCGCGCTTAGTCTACTTCAGATACTCTTTCAGCTTCAGAGTTTCGGGTTTAGAACGGGAGATTTTGAAATTTGACGTTGGGTCAACGGTAACCATTTTACTCGTGTCTATTGAACACTATGCTGTCAATTTTGATTTCGATGCACAGTTGAATTCTTGCTGAACACGATGATGTATGTCATGCATGATTTAGCGCCAAAAATCTTACGAAACGAGCTCGTTTAAAATATGTATTAGAAAACCAGCTATAAAACCGCATCAATGACATACTATAGAATCATTACACGCTATGGTGTAGTCTAAACAAACACTGGATTTGAACGGCTATTTATATGAGAAGGCTACATGAATTTGTATATGGTCGAGTGATACGTACAGGTTCAGTTTCGATTATATATGCAAAGCTTAACCTCTCAACTATCTGAAATTATAACCGACAATGAATTCAAAGTAAACAATTCATAAGATTTGAACCAAGATCTCGATCATATGAGTTTTAGAATTTTTTGTTTGGACATAACACAAAAATTACGATTGAAATACTGAAGTGAACAAAATGGCGGCTGTTTGAATTTGAACTTTGTATTCACAATACATGACAAAATTATCAATGTTTCACTCTGGGAACCAATTTGCTTTTGATGCTTACCTGGAGCCATTGGTTTTGATCATTGGTTCCAGCAGCCCATCCACCATAGCGATATTTCTCCTGGCCTTCTCTTTTTAATGTGTCAATCTTTGACTGATATGGGCCGTATATAACTGAATTATCATTTTGGTTACTCGAAGCAGTTAGGACGACATCGGGGTCAGCTTTGACCAATGACTGGGAACAGCTCTCTGATGGAGGACACCCAATCAGCTCCACTCTCATTGCAATCGCACCATTCCATGCTATGATTTCAAGACGGTATATTTTGGTCGTGGCTTTTGGTACAAGTAGATGTGTAACTTTGTCCACTGCATTGGTGTTTGCATCATACGGGCCAACACTCACCCACTCATCACTTGAGCTTGGTTTATGCTTGACGTTATACTGAGTCACCCAGTTTGTGGAACCTTCGCCTCCCTGCGTAACAACCTTATCCACGATGGTCGTTTCACGAAAGGAGACCTCCCAATATTCAGTTGCGTCATTTGTAGCAGGCACCCAACCTCCAAATATCTCAACAGTACCCAAGGTAGTATGAAGAACTGTAGTAGCATCAATATATGCATGTTGTGGTCCATAGTACAAGTCACTTATATTTATCGATGAAGGAGAGAATTCAATTGTTGGATTATCTTCTGTCATTGCAGTTTCACATGCCTCAGGATCAAGGTGATATGATATGAAGTTATGATTTCCTGGTGGTGCCATCTCAGAAATTGTACATACATGGTTCTTCTTGAAACAGTGATTTGTCGCTGCGTAATAAGTGAATAAAGCACAAGATGGATGTGCTTTACATTGTTCAGCACACTTCTCTACTGATATACCGGCTATATTATCAATGTCATTTCCTTGGCAATGGCCAGCACGTTTCACCCATCCTTCTATCTCTGATGTTAACACTTCTCCTGTAATCGCTCCTCTACAGACCCTTATCAGCATAAACAATAGGAGGAGAGACACGGGGATCATGCGTTCATCTTTCATTTTCTCAGGTAATTATGAATTTTACATTTACAAAAATACTTTTCTCTATTGATCTGCAAGCTATTGGAATAGACGCTCGTTTCTAATTGGTTGAATTTAAATAAAATAACTTATATATAGTCTCATTTAGGAAGTTTATATCACGTTGCTATCATGTAATACCATAACGTTACCCAATTAGAAAGAACAACATGTAAAAATGCGGTTGGTGGCTCAATTTGCGTGTATCAACTTTTCATAAATAATAAATTACACGTATACATATATTTTACAACATACATGCGTATAGTCAAATACAAAAACAATATTATGTAATAATATATAATATTGGGCTAAAACAGGGTGGAGGAGGGGATGTGGAGGTTTAATCATAATATTTATGTTACATTTATCATAGAACACATTTAATACTGAGAAAACGTGTCACTATCAGATATATATAAATACACGTGTTCTCATCTAATAAGCAGTAGGTAAAGTGTATCGATTCAAGGGAGGGCAATCTACAAAGTTGATTATTATAATGAACTAAATCTGTGAATTATTATGATTGGTGGATTGGCTACATCCGAAGGACTACCCATTCAAACTCAAAAAGAATATGAAGCAGTGCTATAAATAAGATAATTGTCATTATCGAAATTTATCTTACAACATACAAGCATACTGTATTAAGGGTGATCCCAAAATGAAATATATCTTTAACTGGAAACAATTCATAGGCAACGTCAGTATTTTTTATCCTAAGTAGTTGAAGATATTTTTATAATTCATCATAATTCATTACTTGCAATAATATAAACAGTTACCGATGTTTGAATTGTAATGTTTACCGAACTTCATAAACGTTAGTACTGTTTTAAAATAAATTGATATTTTGTTGATGACCTAATAGCATTTGATAATACATATCTATAGTTATGGCGATAAAATATGCAGGTGAGGTCGTCCAGTAACCCCAAATGTGCAGATCCAATTATTAAAACAGTTTAATTTTTTAGGTGTCGTCTTTCTTTAAAACGACATTTTTATCCGCCACTACAACATGACATGTACAGTACAACAAACACATATAATAAGCAATATGTCTTTTACATTTTGACAATGAACAAATTATTTTAGAGTCGTATTTTTCCTTAATAGGCTTACACTATTCTAAATTAAATTTTATTTATTCATTTGCAAACATTGTCTCAGGATAAAAATAGTCTTATGATTAATTCATCAACAAGGAAGACAGCCATGCCACGTATTATAAAATGCTAGAGACAAATTATATCACTCTGTGATATTAACATGTGCATATATGTCATGTCTCAGTCTTTTACAATACATCGCAATACCATTGTCTCTAGTTTTTGTGGCAAGTACGACATATATTATTTATTGTCTGTTGTTCTAAAATACAATGGCTATTTGAAGGGTTGAAGCTTATTAGTTCCCTCAAACATCAGTTGTTTTAGCTTACGATACAACTTTCTATAGACTATTGTAATACTTATTTCTGAGGTTTACCATATCACATTGTTGATCTGACCGTTCTATTTTTATATTTTATATGTGTGTGCTTAAAGTGTGACTATCTCTTTCAAATCACCATGAAAAATGCACTTAACATCGTCGGTCTGTAAAATCGCTTTGTCATATTCTCAGGAGTAAAACATGAGTGTGTATGAGAGTGTGTATGATCGACTGTATAAACTCTACAACAACCATACCTCTTACTACCTTATGGTCAGCATACCGGGGGCTGTTGAATTTATTCCAGTTGTTGCTGAATTATTTTCAAACTTTGATTCCAACTAAATGAGATAATTAATACAGGCCCGTAAGACACTTTTCTCCAAGGGGGGGGTGCGGTTTTTAGCTTACTAAAGAAAATATAAAATTGTCTTTTTTTTGCCGCGTAAATCAAATCGCGTAAGACAGAGGGGGGGGGGGTCAGTTACTCCCCATATTGGTTTGGAATTAACAAATGCATGCAACTTCCAAACTTTCCAATTGTTTTGTGGGGGGGGGGGGGTGAGGAGTGGTCCACTCCCCCCTAGAAAATTTTGCAGTTTTGAGATGCTATTTGGTGCTTTCTGGGCACTTTCAAAGTGTTAGTTTATAAGTAGTACGCCACCACCACGGGAATAACAGTTGAGTGAATAAAAACCGAGCATTTAGGGGGGTCTGGGGGTTCTCCCCCCGGAAAATTTTGAAATTTGGTTGTATTTGGAGCGAATTTGCAACCATCTGGTACGCCTGTGCGTTATCAGTCAATAAGAAAAATGTGAATTTTTTTCAAATTCTTTTGGGGGTGTCAAAGAGGATGAGAGGGTGAAGTGGGGTGGGGTGCAAGTACGGGAGCAAGGGGTTGTCCCCCAGAAACATTGACCATATCAAGGTGCTATTTGATGATGTCTTGGCACTTAAAAAATTTCTGAGACAATACATGAAATTCAGAATATTTTCTTTTGTTTTGAGGGGGATGTGAGGGGTGGCTAACTCTCCTAGAAAATTTTACAATTTAAAGATGATATTTGATGCTTCTGGGCACTCTTAAAGTGTATTAGTCAATAAAAACATTGAAAAACAATCACAATTTTTTTCAAATTTTGGGGGTGTCAAAGGGAGGAGGGGTGCCAGAGGGGGAGGTGGGGCTGGGGTGCCAGAGGGGGAGCAAGTGTTTATCCCCCATATCAAAATTTACAATATCAAGTGCTATTCGATGAAGTTCGATGAAGTCTGTGCCTAAAAGTGCCTATTTCCCAAGAAACTTTTACAATTTTAAGATGCTATTTGGTGCTTTCTGGGCACTTTCAAAGGGTATGAGTCAATAAAAAAATTTGAAAAATCTCAATTTTTTTTTTGGGGGGGGGGGGGGTGTTAAGGGAGGGGGCTGCCAGAGGGGGAGGTGGAGGGGGATGCCAGAGGGCGAGTAAGTGTTAATCTTCCAGAATCATTAACTTTATCAAGGAGCTATTTGATGATGTCTGGGCAATTTAAAGTGTCTGAGACAATACATAAAACAAATTCAGATCTTTTCCATTGTTTTGTTTGGGGTGTGAGGGGTGGCCCACTCCCCCTAGAAAATTTTACAATTTTACGACGCTATTTGGTGCTTTCTGGGCACTTTCAAAGTGTATGAGTCAATTAAAGAATTTGAGAAAATCACAATTTTTTTTTTGGGGGGGGGGGTCAAGGGGGGGGGGGGGCGCCAGAGGGCGAGTGCAAGTGCAAGATGCAAGAGGGGGAGTAAGTCCCCCAGAAACACTAACTATATCAAGGAGCTATTTGATGATATCTGGGCACTTTAAAAGTGTCTGAGAAAAAACTCTAAAATAAATTTAGAACTTTTCCATTGTTTTGTGGGGGGTGTGAGGGGTGGCCAATACCCTTAGAAAATTTACAATTTTAAGGTGCTATTTGGTGCTTTCTGGGTACTTTCAAAGTGTATGAGTCAATGAAAAAAAATTACAAAAAAAAATATTTTTCAAATTTTTTTTGGGGGGTGACAAAGGGGGGTGCGGTCGCACCCATCGCACCCCCCCCCATCTGACGGCCCTGAGTCTGA